CCCCTAAATAGTTTCAGAATGGGGCATAGGGCCAGTTACTAGAAAGAACATCCACTGACTTGGGATTGGGGGGTGTCGAACCTAGAGATTAAGCCCTATAAAAACTCTTGAACAAGGAGAGAACTTTCGGGTTGGTGCAGGAATCCACATTCTGGGAAGGTGGCACACCCTGCTTCCACGAGGAAAGAATCTCCTGCTTCAAGACCTTTTTGGACCTGGCCCTATATATACCTCTTCATCTGTCAGTTCATCAGTATTCCTTATTATATCCTTTATAATAAACTGGTAAACGTAAGTAAATGTTCCCCTGAGCTTTGTGAGCCATTCTGGCAAATTATCAGACCCAAGGAAGGGACTGTGGAAACCTCCAGTTTCTAACTGGCTAGTTAGAAGTACAAGTGACCCAGACTTGCAATCGAGACTTGTGATGGGTATCTGAAGTGGGGGGTCAGTCTTGTGAGACTGAGCTTTTAACCTGTGGGATCTGATGCTATTGCCACACAGATAGTATAAGAGTTGAGCTAAATTTGTAAGACACCCAGTTGGTATCTGCTGAGAATTAGAGTTGCTTGATGTGAGGGGGACCACTTAGCTGGTGACAGAAGTATTGAGAGTAGAGGAGAAAAAGTTTTCCCTTACAATCATCCTTTTAGAAGATCCAATTTATGAACAGCCAGGTTAATCATGAAAACAATGCATCAGTTTAATTGAAAGATGTTCTACCTTTCAAAGAACCTCTATGCAACATGTTTCCTCAGCACATTTTAACGGATTCTTTTGATTAAAACTCCACTTTCCTCTCCTTTTTCAGAATCTCATCTGTTTAAGCCAAATGCAGCACTTCCACAGGACCAAAACACTTCTCTCTCTAATTTCACAGAGAAAGATAGTGAGGCTTAGGCATGTGACCTGCTTAGGAACTGGGGTAGGAGCAGTCCCCTGTCCTAACTACTACACCAATGCTCTTGCCCAAGTCCATCATTTCTGTATTCTCACTTTAAACAACTACCATTTTTGGTGGAATTTTTTCGATTTGGACCTCATCTTACCCAGAAAATGTTAACTCAACTGAACTCTGCAAGGCATAGCCCTTATGAAATCCAGAGGCAGAGGCATTTTGGACAGCTGCTTTATAATATGAAGAACACCCATCTACGGCCATGCCACCCTGAACAAGCCCGGTTCCATCTGATCTCGGAAGCTAAGCAGGGTCGGGCCTGGTTAGTACTTGGATGGGAGACCACCTAGGAAGACCAGGTGCTGTAGGCGTAAAAAATAAAAAATAAGGGATTGTAAGCTGACAAAGTCCTTGCCATCTGTAAAGTCAACCAAGGGTTGCCTTGCCTAAAATAAATAAATAAATATAATATGAAGAACACCCGAATCCATCAGACAGAAGAGAGAACAGGCCCTCCAGACTGGACCTGGCTGTGCTCTCTTTACAGCTCTGTCACTCAGTGGATATTCAACTTCACCATCTATCTTACCTAACTATGTCTTGGCTTTTTTTACCTTCAGTTAAACAGCAACCGAAAATTATTTCCCACTCACTGATAGGAGTCTAATGAGACAACATAATTTTTCATGTTCCTCAAGAGTGAAGCACAATTACACATGTGGCTATATAATTAATAAAAACCATTCCAGGATCATCTTTCTTTTGGGTTCAAATTCTTCTCATTATTTATAATCCCTCTGCACTAGATGGAGACAGTTTTATTTAAGAGGTTAACTGATCTGCCTGAAATCACAGAGTTTGAGCTGTGCCTAATCCCCTTCTGAATGAATCCTTATGTAGTTTTCTTGGGACTATATATACTATTCTCAACCTCAGGGAAATGGAAAAAAGAAAAGGCTTAATAATTAAGACCAGGAGGCCAGAATTTTTCAACATCAGCACTACCGATATTTTGGACAGAATAGTTCTTTGTGTGGGGAGCTGTCCGGTGCATTTCAAGATGTTCAGGGGCACCCCTGGGGTCTACCTACTAGATGCCAGGAGCAGCCTTCCAGTTGTGACAACAACTGGCAGGCACCATTCATTGTACCTTGGTACTGGCCCCACTTTACAGATCAAAAAACTGAGGCTCAGAAATGTGAAAGAATTTGCCCAAGGTCCAAGAGCTAATAGCAAAAGCAGAACCAGGACTCAAAACCAAGGTCTAAATCTAAGGCCAAGCTCTTAACCACCAAGCTACTACAACCATAACAAATTAAGGATTTTACCTCAACGTAATAATAGAAAAACCTCTTTAACCCAAAAGCTGTTTCTTTCACCATCAATGATTCTTACAGCTACCATCTCAATCCTATCTGTCCAGATCAGAAGCAGATGCAGAAAGCCTTCCTTTATAACCACCAGGGAAGTCTCTGTTCTAATTCCAATGAGTCCCTTTACAACATTCAGCTCTCCCTACTTCAAGTTACTTGAGCTACTTGGTCAAGCTCTACCTTAGAAAGCTGGAGTGGGGCCACCAGCTTCTGATATTTATACCCCCACAAAGCCTTGCACATACTGGGAATCAATAAACCTTTTCTGAATGACTGCTCCTGAGGCAGAAGTCCTCTATACCACCCCCACCCTTCAAAGACCATACCAGCAGACACTTTTGAGAGATGTAATTCTTGCACCTAAAGGAAGATTTTATTGGAAATGCTCTGAGTTTTTTCCAACTCTCGGAATCTGAGTTCAGGAAGAGTCAGAAAGGGAAAGATGACTGGTAACACAGCCTTTTGGTTATCTCTTCAATCAAGTTCACAAAGACTCGCTTGACTATGACTATATAATAATTGTTTATGTCAGGGGCTACATGTATTTATGTATACATACTTACATGTGTATACATACACATATACATATCCATGTATATGTATGAATGCATGGGCAGTCATCCCTTGGCATCTAGGGGGGATTCGTTCCAGGACCATGCAGATAAAATCCATGGAAAGTTCACATGCCTTATATAGTGTAGAATCTGCATATAGGATCCAGCAGGGTATGCCTACACATCACTTCATTCTCATGGATTCAGCATAGTGCTTGATGAGTGGCAAATTTAAGTTTTGCTCTGAAACTTTATGGGATTTTTTTTTCCCCTTGAACATATTCGATCCACAGTTGGTTGAAGCCGCAGATGCGAAAAACGAGGATACAGAGGTCTGACTGTATATACTTATATTTCAGTTCTCTAAGAAATTAAGCAAATATCCACATGATTTCTTAGGCCTTGAAGCCAGCACAAGGATATCTAAATTAGGGGCCTCTTTTTCTCCCTAGTATATTAATAAGTTAAGGCAAATAATGCTATATATAGTGCACCTCAAAAAATACTAGCATATCTGCCAACTAGTACTACCTCCTCCAGTTATCAGTCCAGTATCGTCTCAGAAAAATGTCAAGAGGCCACACTCTGTTCATGTGTATGGCAGTGAGGAGATGCTAACAAATAGTCGAGAGGGGAGACAGGAAAGCATCCTTTGGAATATTAAACAGATTAGAGGCCATCTGTCAAGAGACAAACACTACATTTTATCCTATGGGCATCACATTCCCATTAGAAATCCCAAGTCTCCAGCTAAAGTACTTCTATTCCTCTAAAAAATAAAATAATAATAAAAAAAAAAGGTATGAAGTAGAAGCCTGTCTTCTTACCATAGCCAGCTAGAGAAGAATTCTCTAGGGTAATGTGCAGGTGTAATGGAGAACTGGCTGGACTACCATAGAGTAGGACTATCATGCAATTGCTTTGCCAAAGGGCAAGACTCAAAATAAGAGCAAGAGAGAATCAGGTGAAGAGCCTCTGAAATAAACCAAGCTAGTGGTCTCTCTTTAACTTCTTCAGTGTTCTTGAACAATACAGCAAGGGCAATGATCATGTACCAACACAAACCTTTCCTACTGTCACCAGGTTCCTCTCTATGGAATGGAGATCTGGTTCTTTCCTTCCTAACCTTTTATCTCCATCAATGACATGGCATTTTCCTTTTACATGCAACCAACCCCCATTCAAGAGAGGGAGAAATGTAACTGTCCAGAAAATGCATTCAGGCAGATGATAAAATGGGCTGGCCACCTATCACAAGAGCCAGGGCAAAATTAAATACATCGACCCCAAAATCTTCCAAGACCAATCACACATCATCTTCTTCAATCTGCAGACAGGTTTTTTTCTTTTTTTCTTTAACTGAGTCTCCCAATTTAGGATAACCAGATAGAAACTTTTAAATGCATGTGTCTTATTCCAGAGGACCAGTTGAAAATCAGAGCCATCTAATCGATATATTTACATGGGGCCTACCTTTAATCTATCTTTGTAGGGTAAAAAGGGAGCTTGGAAGCCTGTATGTAGTTCGGCGCTTGTCACCAACACTTTACTCACGTCAAGGCAATTAGACCCATGACTGTTAAAAATTTATCTCAAAGCTCTTGTCCAGTGCACATCAATTACAGTCACGGTTGAAAACACAGAATTTTAAAATTCTTTATTCCACACCCAAGGGGAGGTGTGAGGGCAGCCGAGAAATCATGGAGACAGGGATAGCAGGTGTCCAAGGGGGCAGCTGCTTCTAAGATCTGTTTTGGGACAGGGCACGGAACTAACCAAGGGTACTCTTCTCTCCCCCCCATCTTTACATCTGCCCATTCACAACATCTCAGTCGAACAAACTGTTTCTTTTTTGAGAGGTTTACGGCGAGCGCGAAAGGGATTAAAGACACGCGAGGGGCGAAGCCTGGGATTTGCTGCAACACGTAATACAGGAAAACGTGTAGCTGTTTACTATCAGCGCCCAGGAGACGCCGAGCGCAGCGCGCAGCCGAGCTCACCCCTCCCGGCCCGACCCCGCCTCCCCCACCACCTCAGGCTCACTCCGGCGCGGGGGCGACGCCGCATCAGCCCTCCCCAACACGCCCGCGAGACCCGGAGGCTCCCCGCACGCCGGCCCCCAGGGCATCTGCACGGTCTCCCTGCGACACCCGCGTGCTGTCCGTCCCGAATCACCTCGGAGGCCTGGGTTGTCGTCTCTGGCCCGAATCTTTCGGATTTTGACGGGGCGCCCGCTCAAAGTCGACAGGACCAGACGCTGGCGCAAGAAGTTGCAGCCCACGTAGCTGAGCGAGTGAGCCTGAGTCGCCATGTGCGCGCCCTGCGCAAGGCGCGGGCGGCTGGGGTGAAGGGACTTCTGATCCGCGCGGGGGTCGCGACTCAGGCAGCTGCGGCGACAGCGGCAGTGGCGACCGGGGTTCCTTCCCGCAGCTTCGCAGCCCCGGCGCGTCCACGTGGTTTGGAACAGGAAGACGGAGAAACGAGACACCGGGTCAGAGGGGAGCGGGGCGGAGCCGGTGACCGCCTACCCCCCGCTCCCCCTTCCTGCCACTCCGCCCGGCTGAGGGCGTCCGAGTACCAGCCCACGCCGCTATTGGCCTTCGCAGGATCAGGGCGGTGCCCATGCCGCGCCACCATTGGCCCACTGAGGCTGGGCGGTGCCTGGGCTGCGTTGCCATTGGCCCGCGCTGGAGTTGGGTGGTGCCCGGGCCCCGGCAACAGCTCGCCGCGGGAGGATCCCGGAGGGGCCTGCTAGCTGTAAGCTGGGAGCTCGAGTTCAGGGTCAGGTTCTGCAGGGTCTCTCCCAGAGTAGAAGCAAGGGGAGGCGACCTAAGGGGACGGGCCTCGTACTTAGCCTCACTACTGACGTCAGCCACTGGGATATGAATGGTATTACCCTATGCCCCTTTTTTCTTAACAGAGGAGAAAATATGATTGGCGCACTTACTCTGTTGCAGATACCCTTCTTGAGTGTTATGGCGCGAACGATTCTAAGACCTACGGAGCCAATTGAGATTAATTATGAGCCTTTATTAGCCGGCCAGCGACTGACTCTCTACCACACAGGGTTAGAGGAGATCAGCCCCGAACTTCTAGAGGAGGCAGCTCATAAAGCCTCCTACTACATCCTTTAATAAGCAGATTACAAGAAGCAGAAGTTAGCCATTAATATTTTGTACAAAGATAAATGTATCTGGGGAAATTCTCAGATCAGGGCCTAATAGTTTTATCATCTTCACCTTGGAATGTTGCGCTTCTCCTGGGGCTGGCGCCTGGAGATATCGCCTCCCCGAAACTGGAGAATTTCTACTTTTACATTCCCCACTGGTTTTTGAAGGGAAATCAAATCATTGATTCTCCGAATTGGAGTGGTTGGTAGTTTGTTCTGAGAACCATGAGTTTTACTGCCTGTACCCGCTTTTTGACATAGGCAGTTAACCAATTATAATTAAACCCGCGAGAGTCTTATCTTGAGAGGGTCTCCTGTTGGGCGGACATGCCATCTCTCAGTCTCTGGTGATGGTTGAGCAGCCTTGATGCGGGTGTGATGAATCTAATGGCGTCTCCCAGCAACTTTGCGGTGGGAGTGGTGAGGATGACAGGAAAGGGTCCGTCCCAGCAGGGCTCAAAGGTGGCTGGCTGTATCTTCTTTACCCAAATCCAGTCACCAGGAGAGTGGCTGTGAGGTTTAAGTGACTGTCTAGGGCTTTCCCGGGTGGCGGAGACTAAGTGTTGAATCTCTTTTCTTGCCAAGTGTAATGCCTGTAAGAACTTAAGTAGTGAGAATTTGTGAATTTTAGTCGCCTTTTCTACCCCTATCTTGGGTAGGAGAGGTGGCGGTCTCCCAAACGTGATTTCATATGGGGTGAGGCCTCGGAGGTAAGGGGTACATCTCACCCTAAAAAGGGCAAAGGGGAGGAGGCTCACCCAGTTCTTGCCAGTTTCAAGTTTAAACTTGGTTAAAGTTTCTTTTAATGTCCTGTTTATTCTTTCTCCCTGGCCTGAACTCTGAGGTCTATATATACAGTGTAGTTTCCAATTAATACCTAACATTTTGGCTAAGGTTTGACTTATTTTGGCGATGAACGCCGGGCCATTGTCGGACCCCAGTGTTAACGGCAAGCCAAATTGGGGTACTATTTCTGATACTAATTTCTGAGTTACTACCTGAGCAGTTTCTCTCTTAGTTGCGAAGGCTTCAGTCCACCCTGAGTAGGTGTCGATGAACCAAGTAGATACTTAAATCTAAAAGTTCCAGGACTTATTTCTATAAAGTCTAATTCCTAATGTTCTCTTGGAGCTTGGCCCCTGAGTCTTGATCTAATTTGTACTTCAACAGGAGGCCCAGGGTTAACTTGGGCGCAAATATGATATCTTGTTCTTACCTCTTTGGCAGTTTTGTGTAGCCCTGGGATATAATAGTCTCTTTTCAAAAGTTCAATTAACTTTGTTCCTCCTAGGTGAGTGCTCTGATGGACTAGTGAGACTAGTTCCTGACCCAGGGCACCCGGTACTAGGGCGTGTACATCTGGGAGGTGGATCCACCCAGTGGGTCCTTTTACCCCCTTTAGCTTACTGCTGGCGGCTTCCTTTGCAATTCGGTCGGCAAAGGCATTGCCCCGGGCTACCTCAGACTCAGTTCTCTGGTGACCTGGACAGTGTATGATAGCTACTTTCTTAGGCAGCCAGATGGCTTCCAGGAGAGCTAGGATCTCTTCTCTGTTCCTGATTTCCTTCCCCCCTGAGGTGAGTAATCTTTTTTCTTTACAGAGTGCCCCATGAATATATGCAGTAGCAAAGGCATATCTGCTGTCTGTATAGATGTTAACTGTCTTCTCCTTACCCCATCAGAGAGCTTGGATCACAGCGATGAGTTCGGCTCACTGAGCGGATGTTCCGTGGCTCAGGGCCTGAGCCCAGATGACAGTCCCTCTGGTAACTACTGCCGCCCCAGCATACCTGACTCCCTCTGCGACGAAGCTGTTTCCATCGGTGTACAGTGTGGCATCGGTTGTGGCCACGGGAAGTCAGTTAGGTCTGGCCTGAGGCAGGTGATGTTATCCAAAAGCTTGAGACAATCATATAATGGCTGTTGAGGGTCATCATCAGGCAAAAGGGTGGCTGGGTTAAGAACAGAAGTTTTCAAGAATTGTACTTGTGGGGGTGTTAAAGAGAAGAATCTGGTATTGAGTGATCCGTGCATTTGAAATCCAACGATCAGGGGGGCTGCGGAGCATGGTTTCTACCGCATGGGGGGCTATAATCTGGATAGTCTGCCCTAAAGTCAACTTCAGTGCTTCTTTGGTTAGGATGGCTGTGGCCGCAATGGCCCACAAGCAATTAGGCCACCCTGCTGCAACACAGTCCAATCTGTTGGAGAGGTATGCAACAGGTCTCTTCCATGGTCCTAGAGTCTGGGTGAGGACCCCCTTCGCTATGCCTCTAGTTTCACTCACAAAGAGTTGGAACGGCTTGTCTAAAGTAGGCAGAGCCAAAGCAGGGGCTGTAGTCAAGGCTGTTTTTAGGGCTTCAAACGCCTCTTTTTCTTCTTTTCCCCAGTTCAAGTCCTCAGACTTCCCCTAGTGCTGGTATACAGGGGCTTGGCTAACTCTGCAAACCCTGGAATCCAGAGCCTGCAGTAGCCTACGGCCCCGAGAAACTCTCGGACCTGCCACTTGGTGGTGGGTTGGGGGATTTTT